TATCTTAAGAAACTTATTCACACCCTGTATAGAAGTGTGTATTTATTTTAATCATACTCTAGTAATGAACTGACTGAAGAAAGCAGAACATCACTTACTGTCTTATACATGGAAATTGACAATTATTTACTGGTTTCAGGCAGAGCTGTGTATAGACACTTTATTATCTCCATATTTATGCTTTATTTTCCTCTGCTGACCTTCTTTCTCAGGTAGGCTTTTCCCATGTGATGGCAAAAAGGCCAAAGTAACTTTTAGTCTACATTTAGTGACTCTCAATAGAAAGTGCCCTTTTCCTAATAGCCCCAGCAAAAATCCTAAAATATCACTTCCTTTGATCCAGTTTAGATGGCTTATCTTTCCTTTAGTCAATAGTTGTGATGGTCCTCACTTGGCCAGATGTGAGTCACATATTCATTGTTGGAGCCGGGAGATGAAATAAGCCGTTCCTAAGTCCTGTGGACTGAAAATGAGGAGGTTGCTCTTGTGAAGGCAAGTGCAAGACCTCGTGTAAGCAAATTCTTTTGGATCTTAAACTGATTTCACATAGCTACAGACTGGCCATTATATCACTCTGTAGTTGCACTGCATGTTTGTAATACTGGGTAATTTTGACATACTTATCAGTGGCCAACATTATGGCTACGATTGACATATTAAGAAATTATACCAGATATTAGCTCTTGGAAACATAGCTTAGTTAAGGTAATTTTTGTAATCCCTTATGGTAATTTTGCTGAATTTTCTAAATGACATGGCTGGGGGTATGAGATATAGAGTGTCAATGCCAGAAATCCAAGCACATTTCCCCCAACGGGGAAAAAAGAATGAGAAGGCATGCTGAGCAAATAACACCCAGCTTGACATCTCTTGATATCTGTAGTGGGTTGAATAGTACACACACAGATCCTTAGCACATGACTTTATTTGGAATAAAGATACTTATGGATATAATTAAGGTAACTCTAACCCCTAACATCATCCTGGATTAGGGTTAGCCATACAGCAAATACAGAAAAGATACAAAGAGACACAGAAAAGAAATGTGAGGCAGAAATTGGAGTTATGTTGCCACAAGCCAAGGAATGCCAGGAACCACCAGAAACTGGAAGAGACCAGAATGAATTCACCCCTAGAGTCTTCAGAGGGACCATGGCCCTGACAAAACACCTTGATGTTGGACTTCTGGCCTCTAGAACTACAAGAAATACATTTCTGTTGTTTTAAGCCACAAAGTTTGTGGTAATTTGGTGCAGCAATACCCTTTGCACTTATCAAAATGAACTGTCAGTTCCCTAAGGTTTATGTATCTGAGCATTTATTCTTGCAATATCTTCATCTCAGTCTTTCACAAAACTGAAACAAAGCCCTAGAAGGAAAAAAAAGGGGGGGAGGCGAGGAATGGATACTAAGCAAGACAAGATGAAGACAAAGACGAAGACGACAATGGCAACAACGAAGAAGAAGAAGAAGAAGAAGGAGAAGAAGAAGAAGAAGAAGAAGAAGAAGAAGAAGAAGAAGAAGAAGAAGAAGAAGTAGAAGTGCCTAAAACATTTTAAATATTTTTTTAATGATTTCACAGAGGAAGGGAGAGGGAAGGGAAATGGAAACCTTAATGATGAGAAAGAATCATTGATTGGCTGTCTCCTGCACGCTCCCTACTGGGGATCAAGCCTGCAACCCCAGCTTGTGCCCTGTCCTCCTGGTTCATAAGTCAATGCTCAACTATTGAGCAACACTGGCCAGATCCTAAAACATTCTAAATTGTTTATTTTTTCCTACCTTTTATAAAAATAAAAGAAACACATAATTTTTTCCATGGGATCCAATCTGCTTAATGGTCAGATACCTTAATAAAAAATAAAAAGTCAATAATAGCGCTGACCAGTCACTTAGTGGTTAGAGCATCCTCCTGCAGACTGAAGGATCACAGGTTCGATTCCTAGTCAAGGGCACATACATACTTCTGCTAGGAAGTGAGACATATTCACATTTCATTGGTCAAAGAAAAACACACCTCAAGGTAACAGGGAAGGGAAATCCTCCAGTGTTCCCAGAAGGAACAGAACATAAATATTGTTACCAAAATAAATAACTATTCCTCATTCTTATCTATTTGTATTCTTTTTTACATATGTTTTTTTTTATTTGAGAGAGAGAGAGAGAGAGAGAGAGAGAGAGAGAGAGAGAGAGAGAAACATCAATTGGCTGCCTCCTACATGCCCTGTACTGGATTGGGAAACAACCTGCAATCTGGGCACGTTCCTTGACTAGGAACCGAACTGTGCATGGCCACCTGGTTCATAGTTTGATGCTCAACCACTGAGCAACACCAGATGGGCAATATCTTACTTTCTAGTCACATAGTTATACCAGAAAATAGAGTAACACTTCTTGGAAAGGAAACTTTTTGTTTTTTGGGTTTGTTTTGCTTTTTTTTAAGAGAAGGGGCATATATATCAAGAATTCTTCTTCTCAAGTGCCCTGCCTTGCATTTTAGGTGATGTAAAAATAACACTTTCAGACAAGTGAAATCACACTGGTATCATCATACCAAGGTAACTTGAAAACAAAATTATAATTCCTCAAATCATAGTCATGAAAAACTAATTACCGAGATTGAAGAATTTTAAGAAAGACAATAACTTATGTGGTTAACAAGATTTTGTTTCCCTTGGGGTGTTTGAAAATTGGAGCCTCCATAGAAACATGAGAATAACTGCTATTCTCAGTATGTACAGCATGGTGATCTTTGCCTAGTGTTTTCAGATAGACAACAGAGCTGTGAAGCTACTAACTTTAACATTAACCAAAATGAATCTAGTTGCATAACAATGATTATTATCTGGTAGAAGATCTCATCATATAAAACTTCCTGTTCTGAGGATCTGACCATTCTTTAGTCAGTAAATTTCCTAAATGAATGATTAATTTGAAATGTAAATATACCATGAAATAAACACTAAAGAATAAGTTTTGTTATAAATCTATATTATTCTGTGTTTTTATTAATACTAAAATATTGTATGAATAACCCATTCATTAATCATAGAAAAGAACAAGTGAAAAAAATAAGAAAATAAAGCAATGGTTCATCTTTATAAAAAAGAGGAATTGATATAATACATTTCCTGAAAGAAATCTTATAAAGATAGAACTATTGAAAGTTCTGTTAACTACTCAAAAATTCTGAATGAGATGAGAATATTAATTACCAATGGGAATTCCATTCATATTTATTTATGTTCAAGGAAATACTAAGTAACAAATCTCTCCACAATAATCTTTTTCTCCATTCCAGAATTACCTTTTCATTAAAAAACACGTTTTTAAACCTACTTCTTTTAGTTTAGTGATCATTAACCAATATTTGAGATTTATCTTCAAGTTAATATCTTTAACAAACCCAGAAGAGTTTTTACCTTTACAATAATAATCAATATATAGAAAGAACTGTTGAGCATCAATCTAATTTTCTTTTTGTCAGCGATCCCAAATGTATTTATGCGAAGGCATGTCTGAATGTCTTCAGGCCAAATTCAAAAGGCTATTGGTATTCATTAAATGACACTCAATTCCATTAACAATCTTATTGTTGACCTCTCTGTGAAATATTATTAGATAACTCTTTTCAACCTATATAAGTTCTTCAAGAAACAAATTGTGCCAGTTTAGATTCAAATGCCAGCTTGTAACTCAAGTTTTTCTGGCTTGATAGGAGAAAATGTATGTTTACGCTTTCCATACTATTTGTGATTTTTTTAGTTCAGCTTCAAAATATAGTTTTCTCTATTCATCCCAATTGTTTGATCATTTTAATTCACCTTTCCAGGACATTTTCCTCTACTTGACTATATTTTGCTTTGGCTGATGCAATGAGAATTACATACATTTTCTGAGTACTATTCACATATATAGGGGAAAACCTTCATCAGCTTTGTTTTTAAGAAAGCTTGCTGATAACACTCAGCATTTTATTGCCTCTTTTTTAAAAAGTCACGAATAGCCCAGCTGTCATGGCTCAGTGGTTGAGCATCGACCTACAAACCAGGAGATCATGGTTTAATTTCATGTCAGGGCATATATGGGCTTGATCCCCAGTATAAGGCATGCAGGAGACAGCCCATTAATGACTCTCATCATTGATGTTTCTCTCTCTCTCTCTCCCTCTCCATTCCTCTCTGAAATCAATAAAAATATTTTAAAGTTATGAATAGAACAACATCTCCCTTTATAAACATCCTTATACAAAAAAAAAATAGAAAAAGCAATATTATACCAAATCCAAGTTTTTTCATAACCCAATTGTTATTTTAAATAGGTAAAAACAGATTTAAAATTGTTATTTTTAAATACAATGTGTTTCCCCTCCTCCCCAAGCCAGAGGCCTTCCCTATCTTGTTTCACTGTTGCTCTGTCCCTAGGTTCTACAGCAGGGCTTAGTGTATAAGAAGGTTCTCCGTTTGTGCTTGTCGAATGGATCCATAAATAAATATTGAGTGTCTATGGAAGAAATCCTAAGCCTGCACATTAGGAAATAATATAACTATGGGAACATAGTAATGCGAATGGGCAAGAGAAATTAATTTTTGCCAAAGACTTGACATTTCACTATAAGATTAAAGTAAAAAAAAAAAAAACTGAAAATGTCACTGTAATTGACTACGTTGAAATCCTGTGTTAAACATAATCAAGAATATTTAGTATTTTCTGTGTGTGTTCTTTTTAAGTAGAATGCTTTTTCAAAGAATACGTCAATTTGTCCCTACATTAGTTTTGTTGTGCTTATTGTTGACCTCTCTGTGAAGTATTATTAGATAACTCTATGTTCCATTCAAGATGCAGCAGTAAACAATAAAATAAATACCTGTATTGAATGGTAAGATTTCTTTCAATTTTAGTGAACACTTTGAATACCTTCTAAAATGTCACATTTTAAAAGTTGGTTATATAAGTTAAATTTAAAAACATCAAAGGCAAAGGTTGAAAGATGGACTTACGTTACCAGAATGTTCCGAATTTCCTTCTGGATGTTGATTTTCTTCCGACATGTTCGGACCAGGAGGAAGACTGGGGCTGAAGGCCATGAGGTCCGTCTTGGGCGGCCCCTCCCCAGAGCACACCCTCTGCCGCCTCTGCTGCGAGTAAGACCAGCTGCCCACCGCGCTGGAGCACACCAGCACCGGCTTCCCCGGCCCGCACGCGCCCTCCATGGGTGACGCGGAGCACCGCAGAGCCGTGTACAGCAGCAGCGTGAGTACCAACAGGCTGGACACCGCGCAGATGGCGATGATCAGGTACACGTTCACGTCCACCAGCGCCAACTTTGGGTCCGTGGCCCCCGCTGACATTCCCAACGAGGCCTTAGGCGCCTGGCCGCTGTCCACCAGCGACAGCAGCACGGTGGCCGTGACCGCCAGCGCAGGCTCGCCATGGTCCTTCACCAGCACCAGGAGGCGCTGGCGCGGCGCGTCCGCCTCGTCCAGGGCGCGCGTCGTGCTGATCTCGCCCGTGTACAGCCCCACGCGGAACGGGCTGCGCGCACCGCCCGCCGCCGGCAGCAGCTCGTAGGACAGCCACGCGTTGTAGCCCGAGTCCGCGTCCACCGCGCGCACCTTCGCCACCACGTGGCCCGCGCCCACCGCCCGCCACACCAGCTCGCCGCCCCCCGCGCCGCCCCCGGCGCCCGCCCCCGGCGGCAGCAGCGCGGGCGCGTGGTCGTTCTCGTCCAGCACGAACACCTGCAGCGTCACGGCGCTGCCCAGAGGAGGCACGCCCGCGTCGCGCGCGCTCACCTGGAAGCGCAGCAGCTCCAGCTCCTCGTGGTCCAGGGGCTGCAGCGCGAACACCCGGCCGCTCTCCGCGTGCACCGACACGTAGCTCGACAGCGCGCGCTCGCCCACCCGCCGCTCCACCAGCGAGTAGGACACCAGCGCGTTCTCCTGCGCGTCCGCGTCCCGCGCCGACACCGTGAAGATGTGGCAGCCGGGCGGGTTGTTCTCCTTCACGAACACCGTGTACTCGGGCTGCGCGAACGTGGGCGCGTTGTCGTTCACGTCGGCCACCTCCACGGACACGCTGGCTGTGGCCGACAGCGAAGGCGAGCCCCCGTCCCGCGCTGTCACCACCAGCTCGTAGTGTGACAGCTTCTCGCGGTCCAGGGCGCTGTCCAGCACTAGTGAGTAGTAATTCTTGAAGGTGGAGACCAGCTTGAAGGGGACATGCGGTGTCAGGGTGCAGGTCACCTGTCCGTTGGCACTGGAGTCCCGGTCGGACACGGAGACGAAGGCAATGACGGTGCCGAGGGGGGCGTCCTCCCCGACCGGCAAGGACAAGGACCGGACCGCCAGCTCCGGAGCATTGTCATTTTCATCCAGCACTTTCACAAAAACCTTGCAGTGATTTGACATCGGAGGACTTCCTTTATCAACTGCCTTTACCTGGATTTCGTAGGATTTCGTTTCTTCATAATCCAGTTTTCCAAGCAGGGTAATTTCTCCTGAGCCGGAATCAATGTTGAAGTTCTTTCTAATGTTGACAGGAACATCGCTGCCAAAGAAGAAGGCAATTTCTCCATTTACTCCTTCGTCGGCGTCAGAGGCGTTTAGTGTGGTTACTAATGTTCCATTTGCTATAGTTTCTGATAGATGGACTCTGTACACGGCCTGAGAAAACACCGGGGCGTTATCATTAACGTCGAGCACCGTTATCAGCAGTTGAACCGTACCTTGCAGCTCAGGTTTGCCCCCATCAGTGGCTGTCAATAATAAACGAAGTTCTGGCGTTTCTTCTCTGTCCAAAACTTTCCTCAATTCAAGCGCAAGTGACTTACTCAGTTCATCACTTGCCTGTATATCCAACGAGAAGTAATCACTGGGGCTGAGCGTGTACGTTAAGAGAGAATTAGTGCCAATGTCTGCGTCAGCAGCGCCCTCTAGCGGGAAGTGCGATCCCAGCAGTCTAGATTCAGGAATAAATAACCTTTGTTCTCTCTCTCTGAAGACTGGTGGGTTATCGTTAATGTCCTTCACCTCCACCTCCACGTGGAAAAACTGTGGCGGCCTCTGCACCACCACCTCCAGGTGGATGCTGCACTCCAAGCTCCGCCCGCACAGCTCCTCCCGATCGATCCGAGAATTCACAAACAAAATGCCATTCTGCAGATTTACCTCCAGGAGGTCCCCGCGGCCCTTGGACGCCACCCGGAACAGGCGCGGCACCAGCTCCGCCAGCTCCAGCCCCAGGTCCTGCGCGACGCGGCCCACGAAGGTGCCGTGCTTGGCCTCCTCGGGGACCGAGTAGTGGACCTGGCTGCTCCCCGCCTTCCAGATCGCAAGAAGCAGAAGAGAGAGCAGCAGGCGCCGGGCTCCCTTGCCTCCTCGCCTGAGATACAGCATCGCAAAAGCACTACACTTTTCGTACCTCTCTCACCTTACTTCAAAATCATATCTCTTTACTTCATATTTTTAGTACTTTCTCTCGGCGTTTCTGTCTTCTCTCGGACGATGACAAAATGGAGCTTCCTCCTTTATTGTTGGCGATCAGTACATTTCCATTGACAAGACTTTGTGGTATACAGCGACATCATGTGGCTGGCTGTAGATTTTAGATCCATTCATTGACTTCCAAGATAGCCTCATATTCATTTGCAATTTACGCAAGGCAATCATTTTCAATTTTATATCCTTTTAAAGGCCCAGACATTTCAAATGTCACTTTAGAGAGTATGTAATTCAATATTTTCCTTTAGCTGTTTTCACAAAAATATTACAATTGCATTTGGGAAAATCACGATATGCATAAATAAGTACATCTTTTTATTTAAAATAATCTATCAGCTCATATCTTTTTTATTATTAAATATTTTAACTGCACACTTTAGTTTTAAAATAAGGTACTTGGACCACTGAAGTTCACCTTATCCTAGGCTAGTTTGGGTGTTTATTTTTTAAATGGTATAACATTACCAAGCAGTTACATATGAAATATTTAGAAATTTTGATGAAACATACTTAAGATTCCTTCAACATTGTATAAAAACCATTTGTGACCCGGCCAAGGTGATTCAGTAGTTGAGCATAGACCAGGAGGTCACGGTTGGACTCAAGGCACAGGCTCAGATTGCAGATTCAATCCCCAGTGTGGGGCATAAAGGAGGCAGCCAATCAATTATTCTCTTTCATCACTGATGTTTCTATTTCTCTCTCCCTCTCCCTTCCTCTCTGGAATCAATAAAAATATTTTTAAAAAGCCATTTCTGATACTTTAAATCTTACAATAATGATATTTGGAACATTTCTCTTTGTTGCTTATTATATAACATCAATTTGGAATGTTGACTTTTAACCTCCAAATGTCATTATTCCAAATTGAATTAGTATCCATTGGATCTTCCTACAAGAAATTTTAAGGAAATTATATTATTTTTCTTTTTTACATTAAGGCAAAACATTGTCATATTTCAGTTAAAATAATATGAATATTGAATCAATATCAAGAACACTTTATCTGAAAATTTTTTAAATATATTTTATTGATTTTTTATAGAGAGGAAGAGAGAGAGATAGATAGAAACATCAATGAGAGAGAAACATCAATTAGCTGCCTCCTGCACACCCTATAATGGGGATGCGCCCGCAACCAAGGTACATGCCCTTGACCGGAATCAAACCCAGGCCAAACCAGTTTCGGCTTATCTGAAATTTTGATAATAATAATCCATCATCAATATTTAAATGTATTCAGAAAAAAACTGAGAAAAACATATTAATAAACTTTTTCAACTTCAGTCCAATTTATAAAAATAGGCCCATACCTAAATCAAAATTTATGTATGTGGTCATAAACCACCACTAGTTAATTTTTAAAAGAATGTTCTTAACATTTCTATTTTAAGTATTATGGATTTTTAAGGAGATTAATATTAATAAGAATTAGTCTATTGTCTTTCTAATAAAAAAGCCCAAATCATTGTTTAAATTGATCATTAAAATATAGATGAAACGCATTATTTTATTTTTCAAAAACAAGCATATAATTTCAATAGTTCAGTGTAATAATTACTTCAATACAAAATATACAGCAACATAATATACATCAATATCCTCTAATCTCAAAATGAAGCAAATTCTATGCTGAAACCGGTTTGGCTCAGTGGTAGAGTGTCGGTCTGTGGACTGAAAGGTCCCAGATTCGATTCTGGTCAAGGGCATGTACATTGGTTTCTGGCACATCCACGGTAGGGGGTGTGCAGGAGGCAGCTGGTAGTTGTTTCTCATCGACGTTTCTAGCTCTCTATCTCTCTCCCTTCCTCTCTGTAAAAAATCAATAAAAATATATATTTTTTAAATGAAGCAAATTCTAAATTTATAACTTTTCTAAATAACATTTAAACAATACTATCAATACTTGAATTAATATTAAGAATATGTAGAATAAATGCTAATCACAAATTACTTTACATTCAAATATCTTGAACATAAAACAGTAAATGTCAGAAAAAAATTTCCTCATGCTTCTGGCAGTGGCAGGGGAACCAGAATACCTACAACAAGATAAATACACAAAAATAAATTGTAGCTTCATAAACTAAAAATGAAATAACAAGACCACTCCACTTTTATTAACAAGGCCTTCACTGAGGGGAAACTAATTAATGAGAAGCTAACCTGTTGGTTTATTATCAGAGCCTAACTAGCCTGAAATAAAGGAAAATATCAAGCTCCAGCATGCTCTCACCTCCCATGGGGGAGATGGGAAATACCCAACTCCAGTGAATGCTGGTTGTCCTGTCCCACCTAATGGGGGAGAGAAAAAACTGAGAAATACTTGTAAAATTTACAGTACAAAAGCATAAGCTTATTAAAAAACGGAGTAAATCATAGGATTATAGAATGCTTTTTCTCTTCCCACACTTCATTGCCACATTATTACAGGGCTGTTACAGTAGTTCTTTATACCTGGTACATCATGTTCAATATGCAAGAAAAAATTATGAGACATACCAAAAGTGGGGGAAAAACACACAATTTGAATAGACAGAACATATATCAGGACCAGACATCTCAGAAATGTTGAAATTATTATATGGGGAATTTAAACAACTATAATTAACATACTAGAAGCTCTAATGGATAAGTAGACAGAATGCAAGAATAGGTGGACAATATAAACAGAGAGATGAAAATACTAAGAAAGAATCAAAAATAAATGCTAGAGATAAAAACCACTGTAACAAAAATAAAGCATGTGTTTAATGGGCTCGTTAGTAGACTGAACATGGATGAGAAAAGAATCTCTTAGCTAGAGGATATATTAATAGACTCTTTGAAAACCAAAAATCAAGGAAAGTAAAGACTGAAAAAAACAGAACAGAATATCCAAGGACTGAGTGAGAACTATAAAATATATAATATGCATGTAATGGGAATACTAGAAAATACAATGAGAAAAGAACAGAAGAAATATTTGAAATAATAATTGAGAATTTCCCCAAAAATTAATGTCAGATACCAAATCACAGATTCAAAAAGCTCAGATAACAGTAGGCAAGATAAATTCCAAGAATAATTTACACCTAGGCATATCAATTTCAAACTAAAGAAAATCAAAGTTTTTTTTTTTTTTAAATCCTGAATGAAGTCAGAGGAGGGGTAAAACACTCCTCCTATAGAGGAACAAAGAGAACAATTATATCTGACTTCTCTTCAGAAACCATCAGAACTTCCTCAGCTTGATAAAGAGCATTCATAACTGAGCTACAGCTAACGTTCTACTTAATAGTGGAGAATTAAATGCTTTCGCTCTATGACTGGGAACAAGACAAAAATGTCTGATCTTTATTTAGCATAATGCTAGAAATTCTACTTTGTGCAATAAAGCAAGAAAAAGAAATAAGAGACATACAAGTGAGAAAAAAAGAAAATTATCTCTACTTACAGATTACCCCTACTTAATGTACAACTGCTACATTAAAAGGAATAAAAAAACAAAAACCTCCTAGATAAATGAGTTAAGCAATGCCACAAAAATAAGATAAACATGCAAAAAAAATTGTATCTCCATATACTAACAATAAAAATATACATGCCAAAATTAAATTTAAAATACCATTTACATTGTCTCAAAAAGAGGTACCTAGGTATAAATGTAACAAAATATGTACAGGACTTATATTCTGAAACTACACACCACTAATGAAAGAAATCAAAGGCTATCTAAATAAATAGACACACTCTGTGGATTGGATGTCTCAACATGTTATATAAATATCAATTTTCCCTGAATAAATTTATAGATTTAACACAATTATTACCAAAGTTCCAGTAAGATTTCTCTATAGATATAGACAAGATTATTTAGAATGTCAAAGAAACCAGAATACCTATAACAATTTTTAAAAACAAGAAATAAGTATAAGTAATCCATTATCCTATTTTAATATTTATTATATAGATACATAAGTCAAGACTATGGTATTGGCAGATGAATAAACATATAGATCAATGGAATAAAATTTAAAATCCAAAAATAATCACATATAAATGTGCAGAACTTAATTTTTACAAAGGTGCAAAAGCAGTAACATGAAGGAAAGAAAGCTTTTTCAACAAATGGTGTTGGTGCAATTAAACTTTGTTGGGGGGAAAAATGAAGTAAAACCTTCTCTTACCTAAATCTCATATCTTATACTAAAATTAACTCAAAATGGATGGCAGAGACTTCAGTGATTATACTCAATGATAAATAGTCTTTTTTAAAGTTTGCATGTCTCAAAACAAAAAGTCTATCACAGCCTTCAACATTAAAATAAAAAACAGCAAACTCTTGGGAAGGGGTGAGGAATAATCTAATTCCATAGCTACTACATAACAATAGGTGAATGACCAATTTTCAAAAAAATTACAAAGCAAACAATGAAACATAAAAACATGTCTTATTCAAAAGAACAAAGTTAATAGAAAGAAATAATTCTGAAGAAGTGTACATATTGAACTTCTTGAACAAAGATTTTAAAATACCTGTCTTAAATATGCTAAAAAAAAAAAAAAAAACTAAGTGAAAACATGGATGAAGAAGTAAAACAAATCAGGAGAATTATATGTACAAACTGAGAATAACAACACAGAAATAGAAACTATGAAAAGGAACCAAACAAAACCTGGAGCCTAAAAATACAGTAACAGAAATGAAAAATTCACCAGATGCTCTATCCACTGAACCAAACCAGTTAGGGCTTGAATTTTTTTTTTTAAGAGACAGTGGAAGAGAGACAGAAAGACAGAGAGAAACATTGATGTGAGAGAAACACATAGATTGGTTGCCTCCTGCATGAGCCCAGACCAGGGCCTGGGATGGGGAGGAACCTGCAACCAAGGTACATGCCCTTGAGTGGATTCAAACACAGGACCCTTTGATCCGCAGGCGGATGCTCTATCCACTGAGCCAAACCAGCAGGGCAACTTACTTACTTTCTAACCATAAGTCTGTACTTCTTAAATCTGTACCAGCCTGGCCAGTGTGGCTCAGTGGTTGAGCATAAACCCATGAACTAGGAGATTAAGATCCCATTCCCAGGCAGGGCACATGCCTGGGTTGTGGGTTTGATCCCCAGTATGGGGTATGCAGGAGGCAGCTAATCGATGATTCTCTTTAATCATTGATATTTCAATCTATCTCCCTCTTCCTTCCTCTCACTAAAATAAATAAAAACATTTAAATTTCTTTCTAATGTAACCAATTTCTGAATATTAATTTAAAAAAACAATATTATTGTAATTTTGGTTGGAACTCCAATTTTTGTGTTCTATCGATACTTAATTTAAAAGACAAATATATAAATATAATTTAAATCTATCTTATTGGGCACACAATGTATAAAAGATGTAATATGTGACATCAAAACAAATGAAGGGGAATAGAGGTGCATAGGAGTAAAATTCTTATATGTAATTGAAGTTGACTTGGTATTGATTCAAATGAGAATGTTATAATTTAAGATGCTATATGTAATCCCCATTGTAATCACAAAGATATCCTTAGAAAAACACAGAAGGAAATTAGAAGGAAATCAATACACATGTCTAAAAAAAAAAAAATTCAACTAAACACAAAAGAAGCTAGTAATGGAAT